ACACACACACACACACACACACACACACACAATTTCCCCCTAATATGCTTATGACCTCTTCTTTTCTCCTCTTTTTTCCTCTCTTTCCCACTGTAAAGGGCACAACACACCAGTGGCATTCAATGTGTGTCAAAACACTCCCATTGGTTTCTTGGTTTCTATGTGAGCCAACACACACCAGCTGCATCAAGAAGCACATAACCTGTGGTGACACTACATGTTAATAAATGCCACAGCTATCTGATCAATTCTGAAAATAACCAAATCCTTGGTTGCAGCAGAAGATCAGTTTGTGCTGAATAAAGTCAATCAGCAATGGTTTTAACAGTAAACTAGTTGTTTAAGGAAATATTTAAACAAAATGTTACATATTTCTTGTTTGTCAATTGTGAGATTTTTTTACATATTGGTTAGACACATTTTACAGCCGTTACTATGACCTCTGAGGTAATTTAAAGATTGTATTGATTTACTGTTAATCCAGAAAGTAATTATTAAATTATTTGGTAATATTTGTAACATTTTACTTAAAAAAACTCCCTGCTGCAATGAGTGCTTGTAGCTGCATATAAAAGGAAGCAAACAAATGTCATTATTCAGTGAGTTACCTGAGCAAAATGTTTTCTCTAAACATAACGAATTCTCCAATATAATGTTTGAATTTGTTTAATTTTCAGATTTTATCTCATTACATAATATGAGTCTCTGTTTGGGGGGGTGTTTTCCTTGCTGTGAAAATCATGCACACAGTCTGCTGGTTATTTAGAACCATGCAGCTGTGGTTTTCCATCATCTGATTATTATATTCACATATAAGCTCCTGGGCAATGAAGCTTTTGCGCATGTCTGCACTTCTCATGTTTATGCACACACTACACACTGATGGACAAAAAACATCTTGTGTTATTTTGCAATAGTTCATTGGAGGTACCTGAACCTTGGTCCTGTAGCATAGAGACACTATGCACATTTTTACACCGGCTCAAACCAAAGCCACTGGATCTGTGACATTATACACTACATTTATTGAACTGAAGTTGACTTATTCATGACACATGAAGAAAACAGCAGCCCACAGTCCAATATGTATGAGTATTTATGGCACTGCTTAATCCCCTTTACTCTTTTCTCCCCCTCTCTCTGTCTCTCTACGTTGTTGTTATTCTCTCAGGACGGGACCTTCAACAAATCTAAAATCATGCCAGAAAAGCCACCAGCCAGCGTTGTGGGACAGTCCTCCTTTGTCGACTTTGGTGAGAAAGACAGAGATTTGTCATTTTGACAGACCCAGTGTGTTTGATTTGTTATGAGAGAGACACAGAGATCAATTTTAAACCTATATCAGTGGCTTGTACTGTGAGGATTTGGTTTTTAATCAGACAGAATGTAAAAAATCCAAAACACTAGAAATCACTGTGTAATCACACTTCCAGTAAGACACTTCATATGTATGAGTGTACATGTGTGGGTGATCCATCCTGATCCAAGCCCACCTCTCATTTGAAGCTGCACAGCTTTTGGTTTTGGAATTTTCCCTACAGCTCTCTCATCACACAACTTTCTTTTTCCACACACACACCACACATGCTCGGCCCTTATCAGCAAGGCTAATCTTATTCATGCACACACAGTTACAGACACACACTCTGATATACACACTCAATCCCACATACAGCCAGAGTTTTCTGAACATCTTATCCCCTTAAACAATCTTGGCCAGTAGTATTCATTGTTTTGCTCAGATTTACATTTATCCTCAGCAAATCTCTGCAGGCTCTGTAATCTCCAGGCTGCAGCCTGTGCCCCACAAAGTGGCCGCTGGTCACTCTTGTATGAGCAAACTCCTCAGGCGGAGGAGGAGCCTTCTTATGCTTGTTTTTCAAGGTAAATCCCACTCTGATAAACAACCTGATGGCATACAACAGACTGAATTTAGCAGAGGGTTAAGGGAGAAAAAATAATAAGTAATAGCCCTCTCTTTCTCAGCTTCTGCTGCCAAAATAGACAATGTGCTGTATGTCCACCTGCAGCTGGACAGTGACCAAGGGTAGAAGACCTCCCAATGAAAATGTCCATAACTCTGAGTGTGAAACTCTGAAGCTGAAATATTGCAGATACAAAGACCACCATCTTTGGAGTCAGAGTCTGCACAGTACTTATTGGAATGGAGCCGTGTGCATGGTCCCATCAGTGTACACTTTCGACCAATCATGATGTTATTCCTACCTGTCACTCATGACATTTCACCCCATTTTAATATCATCAAATGATTAATTATTCCAACCTTATCAGAACAATTATAACTTGAACATTCATCAGTGTGATAATAATCTGAAATGACAGAACGCAATCTTTGAGAAATTTTTATTTAACCTGTACTTTGACTTCTTTTTTTGGTCCATGTTCCATCCACTAACATGTGAAGGGGAGGGGTTTATGACCTATACTGCAGCCAACCACCAGGTGGCGATTAAGAAGCTTTGGCTTCACTTTTGGTGAGCTGTCATGTTGTCCATTTTTATGTACAGTGTATGGTTTGTACCAGACCAGCTAAAGACTAATTGACAACTTAAATTTGCACCGTGAAATTCATCTTTGGAAAATATGGTTGCAGAAATTTCAAAATGTTGCGGCTGGTTGGGAAACTAGTATTGCTGACAACTGCTAGCACTTAGCTCTCCGTTAGCAAGTAACCCAACAGACTGTATTTGGACCACTGTATCTTGTATCTAACTGTATCGACAGAGTTTCTTCACCCCTACAAGCAAAGCCACTGATGGCAATGGTTCCATCAAGAGTTTTTTTGTCCACAAAATGACAGTGATTTTAATTCTGGTGTCACTGGACTTAAAGCTGAGCCCTATTCTTTCTTGCAGCAGTGATTCTTAAGAGAGGATAGTTAGCTTTTCCAAAAACCATGAACATTAAATTGAAAGACTGTCTCAAGTGGGAGAGACTGCAGTGCCTCCACTCAGGTTCCATCTTTTTTTTCCTCAGATTAGGCTGCTTGACTCTGCTGTATTGATTCTGAACAAACAAACCCGAATCCGTCACAATACATCACTTCTTGTGAATTTGTGAATTATACATAGGACCTTTCCTACAAGACAATGAAAACTAAGTCAACTGAGATCACAGGACTACTTGTGGTAATTTGTACGAGAACAACAGTAGAAAATTAGATATTTCCCCACGTGTACAGTTTATTCTGCTTTGCTACTGTTGTTTATGCCTTTTTTCAGTTGTTTGTTTTTCTTGTAACATTAAGACCCTTATCAGTAAGTTTGAGCTATGTTGGGTGCATTTTTAATTCACTTTTGTGAATTTCGTGCACATGAACATACACAAATGCACACAGAGCTTTGCAATGATGCACACATCTCTATCGGCAAGATTAATCTGTTAATCTCACTGTAGCTAAGGGTGTCCATCAAATATTTAGTGAACAAACTTCCCCTTCCCAAATTGCCAATAATGTATGAGCCAGAGGGGAAATGACGTGTGTGTGTGTGTGTGTGTGTGTGTGTGTGTGTGTGTGTGTGTGTGTGTGTGTGTGTGTGTGTCAGTCATGAGGGAATCTGTGTGACAGCCTGCCTATTTTTCAATTTTCTTTGCAAACATGTATGTATTAAAGTCATCATCTCTGGGGGCGGTGATCTTTTTCTGTTTAAATCTAAAGCTAAAGCTTATCTCGACAAAAACTTTTTCATTTCTTTAATCTTTTCCTGTTTTTTTCCCCCCTCCCTGGGCTCTGAAATGTCACTTCAAGACGTTGCCCTCGTTAGCTGGGGATTGAAGCCTTTGAGGGTCACGGTTCTAATAATCTGGGAAATTCTAAGAGAGAGCAATAGAGAGAAAGAGAGATGTCTTGCCGGATGAAAAAACATTTTTTGGTCCTATTTTGCCTGCTTTATTAAAGCCCTCCTCGCCTGTCGCTATCAATCGTTATTTCTCTTGATCTGCTGTTTACTTTCTATCTACAGCTTATTCGCTTTTCACACTTGTTCCTCCTTCTTTTCTCCATCTTAACAGCTTTAGGTGTCACATTGATCTTTAGACTTAATTACATTGTTGGAAAAGAACTTGAGTGACCTCCTCCCTTTTTGGTCTTTCTCCTCTAGAATAATAAATATTCACCAGAGCCTTCCTACTCTCTTTTCTTGCTTAAAACACACACACTTTTGTTTAAACACATGTAGAACAATAATATTTGATTCTAAAGACTTAGGAATTAAATTATTGCTTATGACACTCATATTATTGTTTGAAATTGAGGCCAGAATAGATCAGATTTACTCAAATAATGTCAGATTTGAATTTAAAACACATTCATTACTCTTTTTTTTTCTCTCTCCCATACTGTCAGGCTAAGAAAGAGAGATACTCTGGACCAACGAGAGTGGAGTTAGGATTTCTTATAAAAAATATTGGACTCAATGGAAGACTCGGTATGAGTCAGAGGAGATTGACTCTGACAACAAAATTGGAAAACAACACTTGCACTCTTGTATAAAAATTCTCAGTATTTTAATGCTACTTGTCCACAGTGGATGTGTTTCAGCCTGAAGCATCTATTGTTCTTTCCGATATAATCTGGTATAGATGTCAAACAAACACACAATGCACACAGCACAACAACAACACTGAAGGGATACAACAGTCCCTTTTCCTCAGTGTTCACTATAAGATTGTGAAGTCATGCACAAGTGAAGCATTCAAGTCCAAACCAATCTATTTCTACGTCACCTATATCGACCAAGTTCAAGAGCCTGCATAAAATCTATTTATAGAAAATACATTTTTTAGTTAAATATTCTATAAAACTATAGAGGCGGTCCTGAACAGTGTTCTGTTGCATCAACCAGTTTGTATTTTTGTAAATATTTTCAATGTGTTCTAAAATTAATTAACATTTAAATATTGTAACAATCACCAAACCCTACTTAATACAAATCATATACAGTAAGAGATGCCAACAAATGATAGGGGCATAGGACAAACCTGTGCCCCTATCATTTTAGCCACATTAATGGCATTGCTCATGGTATGTTGGGTTGGTAAGTTGGTCTTGAAACTACGTTATTATATTTATATACATACATTCATGTTCTTCGGATGAATCTACTGACTTTGTTGATTCCCTGATCTTAAACCCAGTGCCACTGTGAGGCGTATTGGTGTATTGATGGATTAACACAGATTTTGATATGATATTCATTGATGCACAGTTGATGGCCTGTTGAGGTTTCCCATAGTGCCATGGATTTAGGGTTTTAAGTGAAATGTCTCCCACCACTTGGGATAGATCATCTGGAAACCTGTCACACTCATTAACACCAACCTCAAGATAATTGATTTAATTTATGTTGATCCATTACTTCTCAATCTAAGTCAAAATGTCTCTTTGTCTGATACTTTAGGTTATATCTGCAATGCTAATGACATTTCCATCTCGTACTTTAGGCTTTAAGTTAATGGGATGCTAACGTGCATAACCAAGATGGTATACATGGTAAACATTAGCCTACAATAAATAGTAAGGATTATCATTATTACAATGCTAAGATGTATGTAGCATGTGGATGTTATCCGAAGTTCAGCTTCCCAGATCTGTTAGCACGACTGTAGACAATCTTATATTGTTGTCCCATCTTGTAGCTACAGTCATCCTTTATGAGCTGCTGATAAAGGTGTTGTAGGTCAAGCTAACCAATATATTGAAGTTGTAGCTAAGTCAAATTATATCACTGTTTGTTAGGTTGCTCAGGTGCTATTTTTTTTGCATCCACCCCTATTTTACCACCAGTGAAACTGTTGGTGTTCTTATCATTCAGTGTTTGTCTCTCTGTGTGCTGCCATCTTACGATGACCAGCTTCTCTCCAGGCTAATTAAAGAGCACATCTTGGTTTTCCCTTGAATCAATGACCGCAGGGAGGCTGAACGAAAGAGAAGAGAAAAAGTAAAGCAAATGAAAGAGTGAAGCAGGAACGGCACACTTCAAAGATGATATGAACCGAGATAGAAAAGAGGATAAAAGATGAGTGTATTTTCACTTGGATGATCTGGAAAGTGGGGAGGTGAAGATGGCAGGAAGGATAATGAAGGAATTAAGGAAAAGAGGAGGGAGAGGAGAGGAGGAGGCAGGGCAGAGAGCAGCATCGCATCCCTGTATGATCTAGAATGAGAATTAGTTCCATCACACATCAGTATTAATTCTCACTCTATCCTTCTACCTTTACCTTTCTCTCACTG